AAGTCTGGGGTCAGCTGGGTAGAAAAACACTTAGAGCCTTGACATTCATAACAAAGCTGATATATTGCATGGCAATGTTTTCACAGGGAAGGATGGTCACAGGTGTAGCAATCTCCAGTCCTTGAAAAGGAGTACGGACAACTATTTTTGCTGTGGTTATCGACTAGCTTTTATGGCTGCATGCTGATAAGAACCAATTTCCATTTGCTGGCATTGTATGAAAAACACCTTAATTGCTTGAACTTCGGACAGGCTTCCTCTTTCACTTCAGGCTGTCAGGTGCCAAGGAATGAGACTCTATGCAAAAACTGGAAGGAACATGTATTGTTTGCAAGATAATAGTTACGCTGTAGTTAACTGTAAAACAAAATGAGCTATGCAAAGTATTAAAATGGCAACAGCTAGCAAGATGCAATATATTTCGACACTGAAAGATGCTGAATTTCTAAAAGCAGAATAAAGAGCACAGAAAGGGTGTTTGACTGTCTGTCCCCAATAAAAATATTCAAAGAGGCATATAAACTAGGTGCTTCAAAACCATATAAAAAAGATACAATCCAACTTGGTGCTCAAAATGAAGCATCAGAATCAACACTGCTCTGTCTTGAAAAGGTGGGGAGGGGGAATGGGGAGAGGTTAGTCTGATTCATTTCCAGGCAAATGACTTATGTACACATGCAAAGATGATCAAAGGGTCAGAGAAACAACTAAAGTAGTATGGCTTCTCTGTTAACTCAATGTATCCCACTGCTTTGCTTTGTAGATCTGCTTTTAGTGATTCAGATTTATCCACTCAGTGAAGATTCACATAGTCCTAACCTATTTTCTCTCTGTCTTCCCCAATTTTATCTTGCTCAGCCAGTTTAAGAGTGAAGGATTAGCCTAAAGTCCTCCAACACGTTATGTGGCTAAGGAAGGTTTTAAAGCTGTATCGAGCCTCACGCAGTGATCATTCAAAGTTATGACAGGGCTGGAAAAGTAACTTTGTGACTCTATGACCTTCGTAGAGTCCCTGAGTCACATGATCACTGTTACACCCAGCATACATTGTCTTGACCTGATCTATTTTTTCTTCTTGACCTGATATATTTCTTCTTCTTCTGTAGAATGGAGAAGAAGGGATTACAAAAGAGTCAGCAAGCAAATAATAGGAAACATACACATAAAGAAAAGGATTGGTGCAAGTATTCCTGAGTACAGGTAAACCTCAACTTACCACTTACAATGGTTTAGTGATCATTCAAAGGCACTGAAAAAAAGTGACTTATGACCATTTTTCACACTTACAGCCATTGCGGCATCTCCATGATCACCTGATCAAAATTCAAATGCTTGACCACTGGCTCATACTTATGACAGTTGCAGTGTCCTGGGGTCATGTGATCCCCTTTTACAACCTTTTGCCAAGCAAAATCAATGGGGAAGTTGTATGTCATGCCCTTGTTAGAGTCAACTCTGAGGGAGAGGAGGAACAGGGAGTGGAGGTGTGGCTCCAGAGGTTGTGGAGGAGGCTGGAGAAGGGCAGAGGCTGGCTGGAAAGTCAGAGGAAAAACCAGGCCCATCCGCTCTGTATCCTAGGACACACAGGGGGGAATGGAGAAGGAAACAACTTGGCTTAGGAGAGAAGAAGTGGCCATGATTCCCCTCATTGGTTGCAGCTGGGGAGAACAGTATATAAGAGAGACGGTTAAAACAAAGTAAATATATATTTTATTATGGGCTGAAGTTATCTTGGTTGGCATCCTTCCAACAGACTGTGCCTTGTTATCTCCTTGAAGTTGGTAATTACTTATCCTGGTCTGTTGTGGAATTTCCTTCATTGTAGTTTGTTTTGGTTTTTTATTTCACCTCTATCTGCTCCTTAAGTTCAGACTATATTACTTTCTTTTGAAGACTATTTTTGAGAAAGTTTTATCTCCAACTTAGAATTATTGAACAGTGAGGCCAAGTTGGAGGCATTAAAGGACATTTATTTACATTTTGGATTTTGTTACATTTGTGTTACACTCCGGGTCATCACACTGTATTCACTTAACAACTGGGTGACTAACTTAACAACTGCAACTAACAAATATAGCAAGAAAAGTTGTAAAAATGGGGCAAAAGTCACTTAACAAATGTCTCACTTAGCAACATACATTTGGGGCTTAACTGTGATTGTAAGTCAAGGAGTATCTGTATGCTACACACACAAAAAAAAGCCCAGTGTACTCCCCATTTTGTCTATTTAGTCTCTTGTAATATCTTCCTCCCCTATCTCTCTGCTCTTTGAAAGTGGGGACAAAAATCGGTCAGGTATAGATCACTTGTGCTGTCCTCCCGCCTTCTGAAAGTGGAGAGATTGCTTAAGTATTGGAGGGGAGAGAAAAAAGGGGAGAAATCCAAGAAATCTCTAGCAAAAAATAGAAGCAAAATATCAATTTAGGTTTGAGGAAAAATAACTAAGAAGCTGCTTAACATTTCACTTCTTGGTTCACCTTCCTAAGAGCCTTTGTGGTCTAGTTGGATAATAGCAATAGCACTTAGACTTATATACCACTTTATAGTACTTTACAGCCCTCTTTAAGCAGTTTCAGAGTCAGCCTATTGCCCCCAACAATTTGAGTCCTCATTTTACCCACCTTGGAAGGATGGAAGGCTGAGTCAACCTTGAGCCTGGTGGGATTCGATCTGCCAAATTGCAACAGGAGTAGGGGTACTGCAGTACTGCACTGCGCCACCGAGGCTCTTATATAATGACAGAAGGGAGAACTAAAAGGAAGTTTCTCATTTTTATTTTGATTGTTTGATCTGATTTGATTTCTATAGCAACCCCATCTCAGCCAAGGACTCTGGGTGGCTCACAATTCATTTGTCATTATTACCAGAATGTGTTATCATTTTGTAAGTTGAACTGCTATAAATATGCAACTTCCTGAACAATGCAGTCTTTGGACATAGTCCTCAGCATGCAAAATGAACAAATAAAGAAATGTAGCTGCCGCTGAAAAATCTTGTAAGCTCAAATTTATTCCCAGCACTTCAAAGAATTTAGTTCTTTATTCTGTTCTTTTTCTTGCCAATAACTGCCAAATACTGTAAGACCCAGTAAGAGGGTGTTGCTTGTCTTTGTGCCCTTAAAATTAACTGGAGCAAAGAAACATTTCTGCTTCAGAGAAAGGGGAATTTTCTGCTAAGGCCAAAGACAATTCTTCCTTATTACGATCATGCACAACCCATACATAGGAATTTTAAAAAATCAATGGCCTACGCCCTATTTCCTCAAGTACAGATTTGGAACCAGTGCTAGGTGTTTTATTTCTTAATAACTATGAGAATTTACTTCCTTTAGTCACAAAGTGAACAAAAGCTAAGTGAACAAAAGTGAAGGAAAACAGTCAAGAGCCCTATGAGTTAGATTAATCCATCAACTGCATCCGTTCTTCTTTGGATTATATACTATAAGCCCAACATAGCTAAACAAGTTTATTTCTAGCTCCAGCATGATGTGCAACCCCAGAAAACGGGTCAGATTAGAGGAGCGGAACCCCTTTAACACCAAAGTAAAGCTCATTTATTATGAGCAATATGAGTGCAGTCTTTAATGCCACTGCAGTCTTTAATGCCATCAACTGTATAACAACTAAAACTAGAATTATTAAACATTTTACATTTTCACAAGGAAGCTGTTAACATCTCTTTTACTA